CTGGGAGGAGGGAAGATCGGTAACAAAATCCACCGATAGATGAGACCAGGGTCGCTGTGGAACGGGCAGGGGCTGTAATTTACCCCTGGGCAAATGTCTGGGTGCCTTACACTGGGCACATATTGAGCAGGAGGAGACATAAACCCTCACATCCCTGGCTAATGTTGGCCACCAGTACTTCATACTAAGGCAGTGCACCGTCCGGCCAATACCCGGATGTCCAGAGGAGGGAGACGTGTGAGCCCAATAAATCAACCGATCCCGGACCTCGAGCGGGACGTACGTCCGACCCACCGGACACTGTGGAGGACTAGGGTCGGTACGCAACGCCCGCTCGATCTCCGCATCGACCTCCCACACCACCGGTGCCACCAGACACGACTCCGGTAGTATGGGAATGGGCTCCACGCACCTCTCCTCCGCGTCATACCGGCGGGACAGAGCATCTGCCTTCCCGTTCTGGGACCCAGGGATGTAAGTGATCTTAAACACAAACCGGGCGAGAAACATAGTCCATCGAGCCTGGCGAGGATTTAGTCTCCTAGCTGCCCGAATATATTCCAGGTTACGGTGATCGGTCAGAATGAGGAAAGGGTGCTGAGCCCCCTCAAGCCAATGCCTCCATACCTTTAGGGCCTGGACTACAGCTAACAGCTCCCTGTCCCCTACGTCATAATTCCGCTCCGCCGGACTGAGCTTCTTAGAATAAAAAGCACAGGGGCGGAGCTTAGGTGGTGTACCCGAGCGTTGAGATAGAACGGCCCCAATACCAGCCTCGGACGCGTCTACCTCAACTTGAAACGGTAAAGTGGGATCCGGATGCGCCAACACCGGAGCCGAGGTAAACAGGTCCTTCAGCTTACCAAAAGCCCTGTCCGCCTCAGCCGACCACTGCAAGCGCACCGGACCCCCCTTCAGAAGAGACGTGATGGGAGCTGCCACCTGACCAAAACCCCGGATAAACCTCCGGTAGTAATTCGCAAACCCCAAAAACCGCTGCACCTCTTTAACTGTCGTTGGGGTTTGCCAATTACGCACGGCGGACACTCGGTCCACCTCTATTCTCACCCCTGACGCAGACAACTGGTCACCCAAAAAGGAAACTGACTCCTGAAAGAACAGACATTTCTCAGCCTTGACATACAGGTCATGCTCCAACAGTCTCCTCAATACTCTGCGCACCAGGACTACATGCTCGGCCCGGGTAGGGCTGTACACCAGAATATCATCAATGTACACCACCACCCCCTGCGCCTGCATGTCCCGGAAAATTTCATCTACAAATGATTGGAAGACTGATGGAGCATTCATTAACCCATATGGCATGACCAGATACTCGTAATGGCCGGATGTAGTACTAAATGCTGTCTTCCACTCATCGCCCTCCCTAATGCGCACCAAATTATATGCGCTCCTGAGGTCCAATTTTGTGAAGAACCGTGCCCCGTGTAATGACTCCGTCATAGTCCCAATCAGCGGGAGTGGATAACTGTATTTAACAGTCACCTGATTGAGACCGCGGTAATCAATACACGGACGCAGACCTCCATCCTTTTTCTTCACAAAAAAGAAGCTCGAGGACGCGGGAGAAGTAGAGGTCCGTATGTATCCCTGTCTCAGAGACTCGGCAATGTACGTCTCCATTGCTTTTTTCTCCTCCTGTGACAAAGGATACACATGGCTCCGCGGGAGCGCTGCTCCTATCTGGAGGTCTATCGCACAATCCCCCTGTCTATGAGGTGGCAACCTTGCCGCTCGGGTCTTACTAAACACAAGTGCCAAATCCTCATATTCAGGAGGAATGTGCAGTGCTGACATCTGGTTCGGACTCTCCACCGAGGTCGCCCCTACGGAAACACCCAGACAAAACCCCTCACACTGAGCAGACCACCCTTGAAGAGCCTTCTCTCGCCACTAAATAGTAGGATCATGGGTGGTTAACCAGGGAAGCCCCAGTACCACCGGATACGCAGGAGAGTCAATCAGATAGAGTTGAATCGTCTCCTCATGACCCCCCTGCGTCATCATCCTAAGTGGCGCTGTGAGCTCCCCAATCCACCCAGATCCTAAAGGACGACTATCTAAAGCATGTACGGGGAAAGGCTTATCGACTGGAAGGAGGGGAATCCCTAACTTAACACAACATTTGCGATCTATAAAATTCCCAGCTGCGCCTGAATCGACTAGCGCCTTATGCTGGGAACGAGGTGCAACCTGTGGAAAACAAACAGGCAATGTAAAGTGGACGACAGAAAGCTCTGGGTAAGTAGGGCGCCTACTCACCTGGGAGGACTCCCCACTGTATGGCCTGCCATCTCCCTCCTCAGGGAACCCTCCCCAGCACCTAGCCGCGGTGTGCCCTCCGCGGCCACACTTGGTGCAGGAGACTGTTCCCCTCGGGTTCCTTCCTCTTTTCGTTCTAGCGCCAGCCCCTCCCAGCTCCATCGGACTAGGCTCGGAGGTGCTGGAGGGTGGAATGGGAGGCCCCCATCTGGGACGCCCGCGGGTCATGAGTAGGTTGTCTAGACGAATAGCCATGTCCACAAGCTGGTCAAAAGTTAACGTAGCGTCCCTACACGCTAACTCCCTGCGGACGTCCTCCCTAAGGCTACACCTAAAATGGTCTATGAGGGCCCTCTCATTCCACCCCGCGTCAGCCGCTAGAGTCCGGAACTCCAGTGCGAATTGTTGAGCGCTCCTCATCCCCTGTCGGAGGTGGAATAGACGTTCCCCCGCCGCTCTTCCCTCTGGTGGATGGTCAAAGACCGCACGAAAGCGGCGGGAGAACTCCGCATAGGTGACTGTGGCGGAGTCTATTCCCCTCCATTCGGCGTTGGCCCACTCCAACGCCTTGCCGGTGAGACAGGAGATGAGGGCGGAAACGCTCTCGTATCCCGAGGGCGCCGGGTGTATAGTGGCTAGGTAGAGCTCCACTTGCAAAAGGAAGCCCTGACACCCGGCAGCGGAGCCGTCGTACGCCCTCGGGAGCGAGAGCCGAATCCCACTGGGTTCCGGTGGATGAGTAGGCAGGTTCTCTGGTGGTGATGGAGCGATTGGTGGGGCTGTGGGAACACCGCTGATCTCCCAGCGCCGAAGAGTGTCCATGACGCCCTCCAACGCGTGCCCGATCCGATTGATGCGATGTTCCTGTCCCTGGAGACGTCCCTCCACGCTGTCGACTTGTGCTCCTGCTGATTCCATTGAAGTGGTGTGTAATTCTGTCAGGGCCGTGTAGAAATGGTGTGGTGTGGAATCAAGTGCAGAAGCAGAAAGAGAGTCCAAAATACTTTACTGGAAAATGCGAGTCAATATTCCAAAATAGCCAGAGGCAAAACGCACACAGGCGTAAAACACAAGCGCGCATAAACAGGCGCGCAAAACTCTTCTCAACCGAGAAGTAAGCAATACAGAGGTGGCGTACCAAACACCGGTACGAAACGACACCAACACGAAACAATTACACACAACACAACAGGGAAACTAAATAGGGTGCTTAATTAGACATAACACAAGACAGGTGTGACTAACAGACAAAACTAGTCAAACAGAAAACATAGAGCGGTGGCAGCTAGTACTCCGGAGACGACGAACGGCGAAACCTGCCCGAACAAGGAGGAGGAGCTGCCTCGGCCGAAACCGTGACACACACTCAATCAAACAGACTCCAACCTCTCCACAATGGCCAAGACCAGAGAGCTGTGTAAGGACACCAGGGATAAAATTGTAGACCTGCACAAGGCTGGGATGGGCTACAGGACAATAGGCAAGCAGCTTGGTGAGAAGGCAACAACTGTTGGCGCAATTATTAGAAAATGGAAGAAGTTCAAGATGACGGTCAATCACCCTCGGTCTGGGGCTCCATGCAAGATCTCACCTCGTGGGGCATCAATGATCATGAGGAAGGTGAGGGATCAGCCCAGAACTACACGGCAGGACCTGGTCAATGACCTGAAGAGAGCTGGGACCACAGTCTCAAAGAAAACCATTAGTAACACACTACGCCATCATGGATTAAAATCCTGCAGCGCACGCAAGGTCCCCCTGCTCAAGCCAGCGCATGTCCAGGCCCGTCTGAAGTTTGCCAATGACCATCTGGATAATCCAGAGGAGGAATGGGAGAAGGTCATGTGGTCTGATGAGACAAAAATATAGTTTTTTGGTCTAAACTCCACTCGCTGTGTTTGGAGGAAGAAGAAGGATGAGTACAACCCCAAGAACACCATCCCAACCGTGAAGCATGGAGGTGGAAACATCATTCTTTGGGGATGCTTTTCTGCAAAGGGGACAGGACGACTGCACCGTATTGAGGGGAGAATGGATGGGGCCATGTATCGCGAGATCTTGGCCAACAACCTCCTTCCCTCAGTAAGAGGATTGAAGATGGTTCGTGGCTGGGTCTTCCAGCATGACAACGACCCGAAACACACAGCCAGGGCAACTAAGGAGTGGCTCTGTAAGAAGCATCTCAAGGTCCTGGAGTGGCCTAGCCAGTCTCCAGACCTGAACCCAATAGAACATCTTTGGAGGGAGCTGAAAGTCCTTATTGCCCAGCGACAGCCCCGAAACCTGAAGGATCTGGAGAAGGTCTGTATGGAGGAGTGGGCCAAAATCCCTGCTGCAGTGTGTGCAAACCTGGTCAAGAACTAGAGGAAACGTATGATCTCTGTAATTGTAAACAAAGGTTTCTGTACCAAATATTAAGTTCTGCTTTTCTGATGTATCAAATACTTATGTCATGCAATAAAATGCAAATGAATTACTTAAAAATCATACAATGTGATTTTTTGGATTTTTGTTTTAGATTCCGTCTCTCACAGTTGAAGTGTACCTATGATACAAATTACAGACCTCTACATGCTTTGTAAGTAGGAAAACCTGCAAAATCGGCAGTGTATCAAATACTTGTTCTCCCCACTGTATGTAAGGACATTGTTGTGACACTGACTTATTTGGTGGTAATGCCATGGGTAGTATGTATGTACCTACGTCCTCTTTCTCAGGTGAGACCATGGCCAGTATATTACCTACCTCCTCTCTCTCAGGTGAGACCATGGCCTGTATCTTACCTACCCCCTCTCTCTCAGGTGAGACCAAGGCCAGTATAATACCTACCCCCTCTCTCTCAGGTGAGACCATGGCCAGTATATTACCTACCCCCTCTCTCTCAGGTGAGACCATGGCCAGTATATTACCTACCCCCTCTCTCTCAGGTGAGACCATGGCCAGTATATTACCTACCTCCTCTCTCTCAGGTGAGACCATGACCAGTCTATTACCTACGTCCTCTCTCTCAGGTGAGACCATGGCCAGTATATTACCTACCCCTTCTCTCTCAGGTGAGACCATGGCCAGTATATTACCTACCTCCTCTCTCTCAGGTGAGACCATGGCCAGTATATTACCTACCCCCTCTCTCTCAGGTGAGACCATGGCCAGTATATTACCTACCCCCTCTCTCTCTCAGGTGAGACCATGGCCAGTATATTACCTACCTTCTCTCTCTCTCAGGTGAGACAATGGCCAGTATATTACCTACCTCCTCTCTCTCAGGTGAGACCATGGCCAGTATATTACCTACCTCCTCTCTCTCAGGTGAGACCATGGCCAGTATATTACCTACCTCCTCTCTCTCAGGTGAGACCATGGCCAGTATATTACCTACCTCCTCTCTCTCAGGTGAGACCATGGCCAGTATATTACCTACCCCTTCTCTCTCAGGTGAGACCATGGCCAGTATATTACCTACCCCCTCTCTCTCAGGTGAGACCATGGCCAGTATATTACCTACCCCCTCTCTCTCAGGTGAGACCATGGCCAGTATATTACCTACCCCCTCTCTCTCAGGTGAGACCATGGCCAGTATATTACCTACCTCCTCTCTCTCAGGTGAGACCATGGCCAGTATATTACCTACCCCCTCTCTCTCAGGTGAGACCATGGCCAGTATATTACCTACCTCCTCTCTCTCAGGTGAGACCATGGCCAGTATATTACCTACCCCCTCTCTCTCAGGTGAGACCATGGCCAGTATATTATCTACCCCTTCTCTCTCAGGTGAGACCATGGCCAGTATATTACCTACCTCCTCTCTCTCAGGTGAGACCATGGCCAGTATATTACCTACCTTCTCTCTCTCAGGTGAGACCATGGCCAGTATATTACCTACCTCCTCTCTCTCAGGTGAGACCATGGCCAGTATATTACCTACCTTCTCTCTCTCTCAGGTGAGACCATGGCCAGTATATTACCTACCCCCTCTCTCTCAGGTGAGACCATGGCCAGTATATTACCTACCTCCTCTCTCTCAGGTGAGACCATGGCCAGTATGTCTGTACCTACCTCCTCTCTCTCAGGTGAGACCATGGCCAGTATATTACCTACCTCCTCTCTCGCAGGTGAGACCATGGCCAGGATATTACCAGGGTTGGGGAGTAACATATTACATGTAATCCGTTAATCCTTTCTACATTGCAAAGAAATGAATAGTTCTGTGTGTTGATTCTGTCTACACAGTAGCATTTTACAGATGAAGGGCTATTCAAACATGAATTAAATTACTAAATTGTTAGTTACATGACTGTTCAAAAGTGTATTCTCTGAAAGGATCCCTGATGAGGTTTTGAAGTATTTAATGGTAGCAGGCATTGTCGATAAATCAACATGGGCAAAGTGTTGTCTCTTTGAATATATATTCATCCCTCCATATCAGTTTTTGAACCTCGACTATGATATTACAATGGTATTACAATTTAACTGTAGCTATAAAATAACAATGAAGGTTATAAAAACAGTACACTACTTGTAAATATTATTTTCCTCATGCAGGTACTGTGCATTATTCCATATGTCTATACTGTATATAATACAAAATGTGTAGGGTTAGCTGATGACTGTGTGATTAGTGTGTGACATCATATTGAATGCAATGGAACGCTGACATGTGGCCACCAATGAAGCCGGATACAAGAATGTGAGGACAACCACCTCACTGGACAATATTTAACCATTCGTATTCCCGATTTCATGCCCAACGTCAGATAAGCAAAGAATTTTCACTGAAAATGGCAGCCAAATGTAGTTATAGCTATGTCTTTGACTCTACCTTCCAAGCGATATCTCAGTACCAAAGCTCTTAGCTCAAACCCGTAAATGCTCTACCATTCGTCGGAGCATGAGGCTTGCTGTCAGCTGCAAATGGTTTTTATAATCTTCTTTGCATTGGGAACCGTGTCACTGTGGGGTTAGTAGCTGACCACTTGCATGTCAATTGTGACTACAAACACGTCCATAGGCCTACACTCTTCTATTGTTATGCATACAGGTATGCTGTGATTCTGATTCCGATTCCATCACTCTTCCAATAATTCTGGCCCCCAAAATGTGTGTTGTAAGAATAAATGCATATTTAACAACGGGGGTAATTGTAACATGTGATTTAGCATTTATCATCCACGTAAGGGGGGAATGTTTCAAAGGATTAGCTTTTCAAGCAGTTTAGGCATCTTTTCGATTCTCAATATAATGTTTTTTTCCCCCTGACTATAATGGCAAAGGAGCATACTATATGATTATTTCCTTCTCTACCTTTATAACACGTTAGGTTCTAAATAAACAGAGTAAAAAACTAACGGACAACTAGTCAAAGCTCAAACCAAGTTTATTCACCCACTGGGTCAAACAGCTGAAAAGACAAAGATATGTTTCCACCAGCAAGTATTTATACCTTCCTTTAGGCGGGGTCTCCTGCTTGCACCTCTAAACACTAGATATTTGTTGCTAGGCAGGAAGTTAAGTGATGTGTGTAATAAAACTGTTCCTTCTCCCTTCATCTGACCTGACCTCGGCCCACATTCCTCACTAATCCAGAGCTATCCAATTGTATCAGTGACCGCAACCAAGTGATTGCGTTCTCCCTTACTTAGTAACTTTTCAGATCCATACTTCTTATCCACCCTCCGTTGACCCCACCATATGCATTCCTCATACTTCTAGTATAGCAAGTATTTCAAACTACAACCCAACACACATAAATAATCCCTAACCTGTGATCAGGGTTGGGTGGATTACTTGAAAAATGGATTACTTAGGTGAAAAAGGTAATCAGTTACTGAATATAGATCACAGAGCTTTTAGTGCAAAGAGAGCAGTATGGGTATGACTAGTCTGAGAAAGCATGTTTGCTCTCTTGGGGTAGGTCAAGTGCTAGAGCCAGTGTCTTCAACCCCTCAGTGTATTCTTTCAAGAATGCTATCTTGTGAGACAGCATTCTTGAGACCTTAAGATCAGCTGCACTGATGGGCGAGAAGAGAGTGCAAAGAGCTAATCTTTTGAACTGTGAGATGTGATTCATATCTTAATACTTTAATTTCCGCTGCCTGTTTTTTAGAGATAGGCTTTTTTTCTATATTTTAGATCAAACCATGTTCAAATAAAGCTTAGACGTTGATAGTTTTGATGTGCTGGCACTAACCAAGATTTCAAAAAATGTCTCGACTGCCGAAGGGGTGCTGTGGAAAAACAGTGTTGTGAACTAGCTCATGATGAGGTGGTGGGGCTAACAAACAAATACAAATGTCTCTTCACTCCTGGCACCAGGTTTGTTTTTGTGCAGAAGGTCAGAGACAAACTCTTAGGCTTTAATTAAGCCTAATTTCACTGCAGTAAAATGACCAGCCATAGGTTAATAGATAGCCATCTGCCTGGAGTGGTATTAATGCCATTCCTATGAGGCTTTTTAGTGATGGAGGAGGGCTGGACATTTGCCAGTTTGGTGGGTCTCTGCACTAAACCGTGGCTGTTTATTCTTGGCTGTTTACCACTGAAGAAATTAATTGCCTGGCCAGGCTGCAGTCATTACAGAGTCCCCGGCTTTTCAAGCAACATTTGTATTGTCTCACTGTGGGGTATTTCATGGGGAAAATAGGGCAACGAGCCCTTCCTGGACTGACCTTCTGCAGGGCTGTCAGGTACTAGGTGCCAGCATGCAAGTGGAGGTGTTCATGAAAATGATATGTTTGGGTATTGGTGTGCAATTTGGAGTGGGGGCACTGTACAGTGTGCCTGAGTGTGTGTGTGTGTGTGTGTGTGTGTGTGTGTGTGTGTGTGTGTGTGTGTGTGTGTGTGTGTATGTGCTTGCGTGTAGGTGTGGCGTGTGATATGGACTGAGTCAGGCGCAGGAGGGTAAATCCCAGAATAAAGGTTTATTCCGTATATATGTCGATACAAGTACTAGGACCCCCACCAAGCTCATATAACCTCCACAATAAAAAATCACACACAAAGACAAGGGGACATGAGGAACCTTATACGGTACTGAGGGGAATGAAACAGGTGGCTGTAATAAAAAGTACAAAAAATGGAATGATTGGATATGGTCGGCATTGGTAGGGGGCAGTGACAGCACCGGTGGTGTGAAATGTGGGGTGGGTCTGTTGTGTGGAATGTGTAAGTACTGCCTTAGTGTGGAGGTTGTTGGCAGCTGTCAGCGGCATATCCCTGCACAGAAATGGTTGATCGTTAATATTAAAACATACAGCTTTAAAGCTGGCTTATCATACATAAAAGATCGCGTGAACTCTCCGGGCAGTACCAATATTTCATTACTGTTAGGGGAATAACCAGTTTCTTTGGACTATAATATCACCCATGGTAAATAAGATGAGAGGACAACCTGCTATATTGCAATTCAAACCTTCCTAATGCATATACACTTCTGGAGTGCAGGTTATATAGGTGTGGTCCTTAGATTGACAGTTAATTGTCTTGAATACGTTCAATCAGAACAGCCCATTTGACCTCCCATGTCCTCCACTGCAGCCCCCCTTTATCAGACTGACACGATAATCAGGCCATGAGTGTCGGGGCTAAAACTGAAAGGCAGAGGGCATATTTTGCACACCTGGCAATTACCTCTTCTAATATCCCAACTAGCTCTCACAGTCTCACGTCAGAATTCGACGTTCATCCATGTTTCTCAAGCGTCAAATTTCAAAGTTGTTGCAAACATCACATTTCGAAGTGTTTAATGTTAAGTTCAGGTATTAACTCAGAAATCTTAAGGTTAGCCATTAACTCCAAATATGACCAGTTTCAAGAAACTAGGCGTGTGTCGCACATCACTACTTCACATGAGAGGCATTTGAAAGTTTTTTTTTTTTTAGTTTTTTTATCAAAATACGTTTTTGGGCAGAAATGCCTTCTGGAACATTCAAACTTTCATGTGCCTTAATAACAAACTTGTATGGCATCTGTAAATACGAAATAAAATAGTTAAATAACGAGCCTAGTTGGTTTAGCCACAGAAAAAATAAGGGAACCTTCCTGCTAGCAATGATTGGCTGAGATAATGGATGGGCTGGACATGCCGAGAGATGATTTCAGATGAGTTCAGATTGAGTTCAGATTGGTCTGCCATGTAGCGTTCTTCTGTCTATAACATTAAGCCTTTCAAAGCACTTCATGGCTACAGACGTGAGTGCTACGGGTCGGTAGTCATTTAGGCACAGGGACTATGTCATTGGGCATAGGGACTATGGTGGTCTGCTTGAAACGTGTTGGTATTACAGACTCAGTCAGGGACATGTTGAAAATGTCAGTGAAGACACTTGCCAGTTGGTCAGCACATGCTCGGAGTACACGTCCTGGTAATCCGTCTGGCCCTGCGGCCTTGTGAATGTTGACCTGCTTAAAGGTCTTACTCACATCAGCTATGGAGAGCGTGATCACATAGTCATCCGGAACAGCTGGTGCTCTCATGCATGCTTCAGTGTTGCTTGCCTCGAAGCGAGCATAGAAATTATTTAGCTCGTCTGGTAGGCTTGTGTCACTGGGCAGCTCGCGGCTGTGCTTCCTTTTGTAGTCTGTAATAGTTTTCGAGCCCTGCCACATCCGTCGAGTGTCAGAGCCAGTGTTGTACGATTCAATCTTAGTCCGGTATTGACTCTTTGCCTGTTTGATGGTTCATCAGAGGGCATAGCGGGATCTCTTATAAGCGTCCGGGTTAGAGTCCCGCTCCTTGAAAGCGGCAGCTCTACCCTTTAGCTCAGTGCGGATGTTGCCTGTAATCCATGGCTTCTGGTTCGGGTATGTACGGTCACTGTGGGGACGACGTCATCGATGCACTTATTGATGAAGCCAGTGACTGATGTAGTGTACTCCTCAATGCTATCTGAAGAATCCTGGAACATTTTCCAGTCTGTGCTAGCAAAACAGGCCTGTAGCTTAGTATCTGCATCATCTGACCACTTTTTTATTAACCGAGTCA